CTCCCTGCTCCTGGGCTGGACCCACCTGCGGAGGAAGGGAGAGGTGGTCTCCTGCCAAGCCAGCGCTGGGACCTGCCACCGCAGGGAGGACTCCTCCAAAGGTGAGTGCTGGCTGCGCTGGGAGAAGCGGGGAGCGCGTGGTGGACGGGGTCCCGGGTACCGCTGCGAGGGACAGAAAGCAGAGCCAGTTCGTAAGAGCGGTAGGGAGAGAAAGCAAACGACGTGCAAGGCGGTTCAGTCTGAGCCTGGAAGAGGAGCAGGACTGAATCCTCATGCCCGGATTCTCCATCGCAACCCCCTTCTCAGTCGCTCTCTTGCAAAGTCACAGGCACAGCTTCCCGCTGCCACGCCGGGGCTGGAGCTGCACCGTCAACCAGCAGCTCTCCAGCCTCCAGGCAGAGGTTGAGCCGTGGGGAGGAGGAGTTGCAAAAAGCCAACACTCTCCCAAAATGAACCACCTGCCCGTGGAAGACCCAGGGCTTTCGTGGCAATTGCAGCTCTGGGTTCCTTCACCCGGGGCAGAGCTGGGGCTGCTTTGGGGTGAACTGCTGCCTGGCAAGAACCGTGGTAACACAGGCTACTTGCTCCTCCAAACAGGCGACTGATGCAGCCAGTCTGCTGAATTATCTTGCAGCAGCAAAGCCTGAAGCTTTAGCCCTGGAACAAGAGGGGCTTCACAAGTCTTTGCTTTAGGGAGAAAAGATAGGGAAAGGATAACGTGCAGTAAGTCAACGTAGAAAAGATGTTTTCATTCTCCCTCCTCCACTCCTCCCCTGCCTTTAAAAATAAAAAGGTCTGTCTACCTATTTCATAGAATCATAGAATGCTTTGGGTTGGAAGGGACCTTGAGAGATCATCGAGCCCAACCCCCCTGCAGTAAGCAGGGATTGAACCTGTGAACTTGGTTTTGTGTATACCCATACATTTTTATATACATACACTTCAAAGCCAGTCATGCTGGATGTAAAGAATCACAGAGAAAAAGCCCACGAGCTGGCGTGCGGCTTGGACGAACTGTGATTCAAGCCATTCCTATCTGCTTTGGTCGAAGGACACGGTGGCATTGAACGTTCACTTTTAAGGGAGGCCACCAGGTTCAAAAAGATTTACTGTGTGCTTTTTAATACCCCTAGCCTAACCTTGCTTATCAGATCTCAGATGATGGAGCAGAGCCCTTCGCCAGCCAGCATTCGGCCCGCGGAGCGTCACGGGTCTCTTGAAGCGGCCGCGGGCAGCCCGCCTGCCACGCTGCACTCGCTGGGGCTCTGCCAGCTTGCACAGCGCCGCACCGTCGCGTTTGCTCCAAAAGCGGCATTTAACGAAAAGACAGCCTACCTGTAACGTTATAAATATTACAAGCGGTTTAAGTGCTAAACTTCCAGCCTTTCCTGTTCAAGGCACTTTCCATTTTCCCCCTCAGATCTCACCTCCCAGGGCGGCAGGACCAGGCGTGAGCACGTAGGCAGTGTGTTACATACAACGCACAGTGCTGTGGGCTTCATCAAAGCGGAGGTGGATCCTCCAAAGAGGAGGTGGATGTCCTCCCCAGTTCCAGGACCGGCTCTTTATAGGCTCTAGTGCAGCACTGCAAAGCATTTCTTGGGCAAAAGATGCTCCTAAAAACGCTTACGCTAATACACATTGTTTATTTGCAGATCGTCTGGTGGAAGCGGGCAGCGTTGGTGATGGATCCACCGGCAGCAGGGTCCCAGAGCCGGTGGAAACCTGTGGCTTCTGTTTCCCTGGACACGGCTCTGCTGTACAAGAGACCAAATCATGCCACAGCACCTCCTACCATATAGGGGAAAGAGCTGCTCCCTCTCACACGGGGATATGCAGCACGGGAAGCGCTGGGGCCATTCCCAGCCCTGATGATGGCCACTTCAAAATCATCTGTTCTCCTTCACAAGAGAAGACGCTCATGGCATGACCGTAGCGAATGTTCCTGCACAGGATCAGAAAGGAGGGATGCTCCCTCTGCCCCTAAAACACAGCTGCTTCATGCTCCGTTTCCAGTGACTGTACCAGCTTCTGCCAGGACCAGCAGACCTGGCGCAGTCTTTGCCCAAGGGCTGTAGGTTACAGACAGTGCTGTAGGTTACAAACAGTGCTGTTTTCTTCTACTCAGGGAATGAAATTCTCATTATTCTTGTGCACTCCCAGTGATAGAAGTCGCTTCCCATTTAGCAGTGTCTTCATCCTCTGACCTGACCTCTGCCGACCCCTCCGTGCATCCCAGTCCTTGGGAGCGATGTCTCACTGGGGCTTTTCATCCTGGTTCCACCATCAGCACCACTTTGTCTCTGCAAAGGGTGTTGATGCAGAGCCAGGATCAGACTGGGGTGTCCGCCGGTCCCCACGGAGAGCACACCTTTCCCCGCTTGAAAACTCTACCGTGTAACACAAGCCGTTCACAAGCAGAGCTGTAAGCATCTCAGACATGGACTCAGACCCAAGAAGTTACTCATGGAAGTTATAATGTCCACTGAATGCCACTGCCACGTTCTCAAGAGTGGCACGTTTTCTGACTTTAACAGAAGTTTCTTTGCAGGACAGAATATTTGGTAAGACGCAACGTGGAAAGCTCCACTGCCAGCTTTCAACACTGCCTGGGAGGGGAGGACAGGTTGTGGGTGATGGCAAGGCTTTGCCTTGTGACAGGACACCATGCTGCACGGGAGGAGCTGGGACAGGCACCAAAATCCCCAATGCAACTGGGTTTAAATATGAAAACTCATCCAAGGCTGAGAACTTTCTAAAAGACTGGATTTATGTGCATCTGGTCTGGGTTACTCAAAATAGCTGGTAAAAGGGATGAACCAGCTAGAGATACAGCTGCTTTAAGGGAAGATTTTTCTCTGACCTGGCTTTGAAAGCTACTACGGAAAAATGTGGGTTCTCGTTTTCGCTGAAGGAGAGCGTAAGAATTTTTTGCTTGGTGAGAAATCACTCCTGCTAGGAGCTCATCCCCTCCACTTCCTCAAACTGGAGCTTCAAACCTGGAAGAATAAACATGAGCCAATATACGCACAAATTGGTGCTGGGGAAGTAGACAGCTGGAGAAAGCATGAGCAGACAGTTGTAACAGACTCTGTCCCCTCCATATTATGTATTTCTTTAAATGTCAATGTTTTGTTATCACGAAAGAAAGCACCGCCTGGAGATTGACCATGACAAAGCCAGTGCCGTGAGTGTTGTCCGGTCACAAAGCAGAAAGGCGTTAGGACCACATGAAACCCGTTAGAACTAGAAAGCGCAAGGGTGGTTTAAGATGAGGACTAAGAGCCCACATGTTGGTCCAACAGCTGGTACGTGGGGCGAAGTTTTGCTGTCTTGAATTGCTCCAGGAACCAACCTGACAATTCTCCATCTCCTTATCCTTCCACGCTGTCTTTCATCTCTTCCCTCTGTTTAGCAGAGCCCTCATCCCGCAGTAGCACGAGGGATGAGTTTTGTACTGTGCTGCATTTGCGTCCGAGGGGAGAAAATAAGCCTTTTCAAAACCAAAATCTTGTTTTACTCGGATGGGTCTCCGAAACACGATGGGCGAGCCCTGAAGGCCACCACGGTGCGATGGGGAGAGCAAGGGCTTGGTAAGGGCTTGTCCCATGTGTGCGGACAACAAAACACAGACCCCGGCCACGAGCAAGCCGCGGGCAGGGTACGGCGACAGCCTGCGCTGGCTGGGCCGCCCCCCGCTGCGCCTCTCATCACCTCCCACCCTCTCTCGGCACCCACAGCCCCGGGCCTCTCGCCCCCCCATACCTCCTCTACGTCCCATTCTCTCAACCTGAAGACCCTCTTGGCCTCCCGCTCCCTCCTGGCCGTCCAACTCCATAAGCGTCGTCTTCCATGGCCTTAGCTCCTGCTGTTTCCCTCCTGTGGAATCTGCTCCAGTGCCCTCTGCTCTCACAGCATCAGCTCCCGTGGTCTCCGCTCCTGCGGCCTCCTGCCCCACAGCCTCAGCTCCCATAGCGTCCGACACCACGGCCCCAAATCCTGTGACATCTAAGCATCCCAATTCCTCTAAACCTCCAAAAGTCTTTCAGCCCCAGAAGCCACCTTGGCCTACACACATTCTCAGCCTCAACTCTTCCTCAGCCTCCCACCCCTGCTCAGCCTCAACTTCTCTTCGCCTGCGTCTTTGTGTAGGTTAATCTCTACATCAGCTTCCCCCAGTCTCTCGGTTTCTGTTCCAGCTCAGCCTTACTCTTTCTTGCCCTCCCACTGTCTTTTGGCATCTGCTCTTGCTCTGCCTTTCATGTCCTACACCCTTTAGCCTCCCCGAGAGCCTCCACTTGCATTCTTGCTCAGCCTCTGCTCCTGCTCATCCTCACACTCCTCTTCCACCCCGCTCAGCCTGTTGCCCTGCCCCTGTTCTCTGTCCGGCTCCTGTTCACGCTCACCCTCCCAAAGCCTTTTGGCCTCTCCGCGCCCTCCCCTGCTGCTCAGCGTCCCGCTCGCTCTACGGCCTCCTGCAGCACCACGTCCTCCGCTCTCCCTGAGCCTCC